TTTAATTAAAAATAAAATTAATATTAAACATGATTTTTTAAATGTATCAATAAAAAAATATATCCACAACAAAGTAAATGTTTAAAACGCTTACTAATATCATTGGAAATACGTGTKTTATAAGCATGTAAAAAACGTGTAATTACGTTACTTAAAAACATGATTTGCAATTGTCTTTTAAACGCTTAACCCTTGCTTTGATGKCTTTTGTAAAAGTCACAGCAGCGTTTTATAARTGTTTTACTTACATTTGAACGCTTACAAAGCGYTTATTTTTAWATGTAAATGCTGACTGGGTATTTKTTCAAAAATCGGCATGTAGTATAAGCTCGTGTACTRTTGTTGTGGGAAGAATTGTGTGGCATTAAGAAACGTTTTTACAAGTGGCAGTACCGACAATATACATATATTTAAGTTTGCGTGTATGTATGTATACTTATGTATGTATGAATGTGAGGCCTTTCCTGTGTATTGTCCGTTTAACTTTATTGATAACTGTGGGAATTGTTATGCCTTTTTAGCACTCCCTGGTGCATATACACATCTATATGAGATTATTTTACGTTGTCACTGGTGGCCTCTTAGTTTTTGTTGCTTTTAGGATCACATAGTGAAACAATTCAGAATTGTTTTTATTCAAAGCCGCAATGGAGGAACAAAAACTGAATATCCTCTGTCAACATCCTGCCAACAAGCAGCAGGTGGAATGTGTGGCAATTGAGGACAACTGCACTTAAAAATCAATAAACGCACGCCACGTATGCTGACGGCCAACGTAGAAATGAAATACTGTTGCGACACACATATGTACACATGTAAATTGACTCCCATTTAAGTGAATTGCTCACTTTAGTAAAAGGGGAAGAATTTGAAGACTTGTAAAACGCATTTTTGAACAACAAAAGGTCGACCGACATGGGCAAATAAACTCAGCAGTGGATCGAATACGAGCAAGTAATATGAAAGTATGATTTATTTAACCACCTAAGWGTTTCGTAGGATARCTAAGTGTGAAAACTGAAACTTTWTTTCCATTTTGGTGGAAATGGTGTCAATAGCGGATAAAACAACTATAATAAGACCACATAAAATCTCCYGAACAGGAGGAGGAATGAAGAGAGAAGAGTGTTGTCAGATGGAAAACCATCTGAAGGATTTATAGTACAAAACAGTSGTAAGACTCCGAGGTTTCAGAAGCAGAACTTGCTCTGATCAAGTAGTATCATAGTAAAGTTTTATACCGAGATTACTTGCAAGGCAAAAATTAAAAGTAAAATGATGGAAAAAACTAGATATCTTTCTCTGTTTGGCCCCCACACCCCTAGGTATTAAGTGTGTGAATGTCGCTAACTTCAGAGRCGGCTTAAGCCTACTTTTAAAACAGATTGAAATATTAGTGAAGTATTATTGTATTATATTGAAGCCCTAGAACCGCTGCAAATGGCTTGTTTGCGCTTGGTCGCTATGAAAAAGGAGGTTATCCTCAATATCCGACACCAATATACCTTGAGGTGAGTTACGAAGCAACACTCACATTTATTACCAAAATAATGGTTCAGTTTTCCCGCTAGCCGAAAATTCAATTCATCCAAGAAATAAAGCCGAATGAACATCAAACATGTCCCACGTTCGGTAAATGATCTCGAAACGATATGACCACCGATTCACATTTTCACAGAAAGCCAATGGGAGCGCTATATAGCCATGTTTAATGACCTTTTCCTGCATGAAGTAGAAGATATTAATATGAGCGACCTTTAGTTCCAAAAAGACAAACGCTACATGCCATACTGCCACGGAAACAACAAACTTATTGAAGAACACTTTAGGTGAATACACCACCWCGCATGGTGGGCCTGTGGGGTGGCGTCTGAGATCGTGCGATTTAAGACCGCTAAACTATTTTTATGCGAAACCGCTTGTCTACACAGATATGCTCAGCACGATTGAGGCTTTGAAAAGCAATATTCACCGCGTTAAAGCCGACATACGGCCTCAATTGTTCGAAAGTTGGGACTCTCGGCATGAATTTATTTAAGCCAGCCGCTACAGTCCCTTATCTTTTTAATAAAGTTTGACCATCAGTATATGCACTTTWTTTCTTCTTGAAAACCACATGTCTKAACAAACACCCTTTTAGCCAAATWCCATATGTTGACTGACTCAGCTAGACACCGTAACGCCACATGCACCTTCGATTCGGCAACCTGACGGGCAYCAAATAATTCATAGACCGAAATTGTTGAAGGCATAAAATCACTACAAGCCGAAGCTTAGTTCTTAAATGAATATGGTGMTATTTCAATACTAGGTTGTTCAATAATATGAACGTATATGAAGTTACATTCCAATTGTCAATTCATTCTTTGTTTACAAGGCATTTAATGTCGCCGTACCACAGCATTTTTTTACAATGGGAAAARTTTAATATCKTGCAGTGATAAAATTCATATTTTCGGAAGGCGTAGCACCAAAATAAATTCACCAACTAATGTTAAAAGTGTATAATGAATGTTGACCTACAATTAGAACAGTAGAAAGATGGGTTGCTGAATTTAAATGTGGTCGCGCAAGCCTTGAAKATGATCCACGTGAAGGACGTCCAAAAAACGCATCAACACCACAAATTATAGCCAAAAATACAGGATATGATTTTGGAACATCGTCGGCCGACTGAGAGAGATTTAGTAGAGACTCTAGACATCACAGTGCGAGCCATATTTTAAGCGAAATGTTGCGTTTTCGAAAGCTTTGTGCACAATGGRTGCCGCATTCGATAACAATGGAACAAGAACACATTCGTTTGAGACTTTCTCAGCAATACTTGAAGCATTTTAAAATAAAAAAAGTGGTTATACTAGATCAAATGGATGAAATCATTTCTGCGGAAATTCCTGATCCAGAGAAAGATACAGTATTACACGAAGTAGTGGAAACCARTATGGTTCATGGACCTTGCGGATACCACAATCCCTTTTCGGTTTATAATATATGTCCATGTGCTTTTCTTTTGAAAACACRAACTGGAAATGATAGATATCCTTTCTCTCGGCGTCGCTCACCAGATAACAATGGCAGAAYATTCAGCATTCCATTTAGAAGAATGAATATCGAAGTTGTCAAAACATGGATCGTACTATATTCCCCACTACTGTCTAATTCACATTCAAAACTCATATCAATGTTTAATRTTGCAGTTTCGTGAAATCGATMAAATACGTTTGTAAGTACGTCACCAAAGGTAGCAACATGGCGGTTATTAGTCTTAAACGATACGRTCGATACATGAACTGCGTCTCGCAGTTAATTTGGGGAATGGCCCAAGAGTGTATTTCAACCTAGAGAATACCGTAAGGCCAGTGGAAAAACCGCCAGCAACAAAATTAACATTCACGAGTTTTTTCCCAACTTTCGTGAGTGAACCATTTGCGAGAACATTTCTCTACTCGGAAATACCTTGATACCTTCAGTTGCTATTGATTAATGTACGCGGTTCAACTGCATTTGAATCATTCCGTAGTGTGAATGGTACGCTGTGTGTAACTTTTTGAGAAGCAGCCTACAATTACAATCCTGGAACAGGATAATCACTGGAATCAAACGATGGACGATGCGATAGCTACTTCGAATGCAAATGAAGATCACACACTTTTCGCGATAATCATTTCGACATATCAGCCTTCAAATCCGCGTCAATTATGGGATACGAACAAACATGACATTGCCGAAGACATTTTACATCGTATTCGCTAAGAATTGGAAATGAGTCAATTCCGKTTGATATTTCCGGTGGTTTGATGTCAATGCGATATGAACTCATTACGAATGTTCAGACTTTGGCCAAATTGGGCAATTTACTTCAAACAAAAAAAATTCTATATTTGCTTTTTCAATTAATTGTTAATTTTTGATATTTTTCAAAGATCGTAGGTCCTTATATAGAAAATATCTTTCAGTTTAATAAGCTTTTTGAATTTTTTTCTTCGACCAACTCATTTTTTTTTTTTTTTTTTTTTTTTTTTTTTTTTTTTTGTGGCACCTCCAATTATCCAGTGAAATTTCTAAATTCTTTCGAGAGGCTTGGCCACCGCGTCATTTGCGTCTCAAAGTAGGATCTGTCGTTATTATGTTTCGCAATCTTCATGCGCCGAAACTGTGTAATGGAAGCGGACTGATTGTGACGCAGCTATCGAATGCAAGGAGGCAGATTGCTTAATTCTCCTTTGAGTTCTAACGATTTGCCATTTCATTTCAAAGGTATTCCATTTTCAGTGCCATAAGGATAGTCGCGTAGTGTGTGGCATAACTTTGGAAATGCTTTGTTTTTCACACGGCCAGATATACGTGGCGTGCTCAAGAGTTAGAAAACCATCTTTCACAGATTGGAAGATCGTTGGAGCAAGTGTATTAATGTTCAGGCAGTTTATACTGAATAATAAGGTGTATTTTGAATTATAAAATTGTGTTTTTCTTATCAAACGACACAACTTTTTCAACAATCTGGAATGCTTATACATAGTTCCAGTAACGGAAAAGGATTTCACCAAAGAGTTAAGATCCAGTTTAGTTACAAACGTTCCATTGAATTTCTAAACTATGCTCATTGGGTGGCTGTTGTACTTTCAAAAAMGCAGATTTTTAGACAGCAGCCAGTTTTTGCTTCACATCGCACACCCTAATGTTCATGGTCATTTCAATAATGACTTTTTGTAATTGAATTAGATTTTTTAGCTCMACAAACTTTCATTTCATAAACTGTTTTCTCATTTCCTTTCATGCTGACGAAATAATCGAAATCAACCAAAATGTTCAACGACTAACGAAACAACCAACCAAACGAAAAACATATCGATTCAACATTCCGACAACATTACCATTGTTGTTGGCTGTTGCGAATGGCGTGCGAATGCAAATGAAAATGGGAAATTATATAAAAACACACCTACACATGCATACAAAAATACATAAACGAACAAATAAATGCAAATGCGCGAAAATAGAAACGTTTCCCGGCCGATAACTTTGCCGAATGGAATAATGGACATCCGCTGGGGTTGCGAACCGTACACGCATATGTTTTAGTATTCGACATGGGCAATTTGGAAACATTTCAGGTTAGTGCATGCCGGCATGAAAAATTTCATATTTWTATTTTAAAGGTGACCTAAATTGATCACGTTTCTTTCAACACCTTCCCACAGTACTGCCGCGCAATGAGAGAGCAAATATTGGATAGTTTTAGTCATCGAGATTTTAGTATAATTGTAATTGGTAATAAATACGACACGGTCACCGAGCTGCAGGCTACTTCACAGGTGAGTGGTTATATACTTAGCTTAAGCTGCATTCTCTTAAATCCAATCATAGCTATTTCAACATATACCAGATATGTATGTGCACTTGAGCTAAAGTATTTCAAATGCTCAAAGCACTTTAATTTTTAATACCTAATTGAATTTCGATGGCATTGCAGGAGCTTAAGGATATTTCAACACTGGTGCGCAAACATTGGCGTTGTGGCTATGTGGAATGCTCTGCCAAGTAAGTACACAAAGCTAATCGTCTCAGAAATACTTATTTTAAAATCTTAATTTTTTGTTATGATTTTATACCTATTTTACGGCCTTTTAGACATAATTTATTGATTTAATAATTCATATAGTATCTACAACTTCTGCTCAATCAGTCTTTTATGCATCATTGTGTTGGTTGTATTTACAAATTTAGGCTACCGCTACCGTAAAAAATTTAAAGGTCTACAATTATGCTCTGATTTTAACGAAGACACAAACCATTATTTCAAAAGTATTTTAGGTATTAGCTCTCAGGAAAGCAAAGTGTTGTTTAGCATAAAGCATAAAGCATAAAGCAAGCAATGAGGATCTTGAAATTTTTACCAAATTTAGTAAAGATCTGTCGAAATGATAAGAAAACAAGAAATTATAAAACCCTCCAGGAATAAAGAAGTTTCCACGCAATAAATTGATTTTAATCGTTAAGTTGATATATATGATATAGTGGAAAATGTATTATTTATATTGTAACGTTGGCCAGAGTATTAAGTCTGTGATCTCATATTCAGGATTATTTGAAAATTGTTCGTACTGTGTTGCCATCATTTGATCCTCCAGTTTTAGGTCTATGTACTATGTATCAGACCCACTTTTGTCCTGAACTTATTTTGAATAATTTTTCCTTCATTGCAAACTTATCTTCGGCTTCCTGTGGCCGGACTTGCCACATTTTTTCACTCGATGTGTATGATAAGTGAACAAAATTCTCAAAAGCGAGTCGAATATATGAAAGAAAGAGTTAAAAAGATGAGGTTAGTCAATTTCAGGCTATACATGTATATAGACAAATATAGACAACAATTAATTTTTGATAATCTTGAGACACATACATTGAAAAACAAACTAATGGGACAGGGGAACACAACTAAATTTTATGTAATTATAACAAATCAATTGAAATGTTCGAGATCTATCATAGTAAAACACATTTTTTGCCAAAATTCGTTTTTTTTTTTATTCAACATAGATCTTCAATAACAGATACACTGATTATAACGATCCTCCGACTTTTCGATATCATTTTTGTACTACGATTTGTGATTTGTTTCAAAATAAGCTTCAGTTTCGGCAATCAGCTCTTCATTCGTCGAAAAATTTTTCCCAGTGATTATTATTTTGAGATCTTCATTGGCTTGGTAAAGCAGTTCTTTCTTTTTCGTCAAATTCTGCCGTTCTGCGACGATTTCGTCCTTCAAACGGACCAATGACGATATGTACGCGTTGCCGTCGAGATATTTAATAAAGAAATCTACAGAAGGCTGAATATACAAAAAAACTTGATGTTTGGGTGTCGCATGATTTGACGCAAAAGTAGTTGCCGTCTAGATGGAAACAGATTATCGAATGAAACGGCGCATATTTGAATTAAATCCGATAACTGTAACAATAGCAGCGGAAAAGCGGAAGGAAGATATTTGATAATCTAATATTTCTAAATTTAAAAAAATTTAATTTAAATTTGTATATTTCGAACTCTTTCYAGGTATAATTACAAAATTGGCGACGTATTCCGAGAACTGATGGGCTGTACCAGCTCCGGTGCTATTGTCAGCGAATTCACACAATCAACTAGGAATAAAGGACGTTGCACAATACTTTAGCGTTATCTGCTCAAATTCTTCAAAGAAGGCATATGAGTTGCGGTCAAAGGGTCCAAGCTACAGCTGTATACTTTCGAGCCCATCGCTAAATTTCCCACGAACGAAACGAAAGACTAACCAAATGCCGCCAATTTAAGTAGATATACATACTTACTTAGGTATGCACCATATGAAGAGGTAAAGTCACAAATTCACCTGCAAAAATCAAATTGTTGCAGCTGTTAGCTCCCTTCAGGGCGAATTCATGCTAGTTTATGTGGATTATAATACGCAAATAGCCAAAGAATTTAGACCATGTAATTTATAAGTAGTACATATGTATATGTAGTGAATTAAGGCAACGCTAAAGTAGATATACTCCTAGAGAAAAAAATTGGGAAAACAATAATAAATTTAGCTTAGTATAGACATTGTTATACAAAAGCAAGTAATTTGCGATTAGAACTAACTATAAATGAATATAAGATATTAGTATACCCGTTTTATTTCCCATTGTCGGTATAATAAACCGAGAACAGAGTATAAATTAGAAGCTATACGAATTTTCCCTTTTCAATTTGATTTCACTTAGAATTTTAATTAAATTTAACTTACTTACATTAACGGTAACTATAATAAATTAAGATATTTAATTTATTTTCTCATTTATTCTCATAAAGCTATTCGCTCGCATCTGTGCTCTAATGTATGGTTGACCACATAGKGCTGAGCAAAGCAAGGTAAGCGATRATGCGATTCGAGTTCTCAACGATAACTTACGACTTCCTACATGTAAAAAATTACGCGATCCGTTATTTATGGATTCGGAAATATATATGACTTTACCGYATGTTAAAATCAACATTTGTAACAAAGTTTGATAACGGCTACATACTTACTGTTACATACAAATACTATTACTTTGACGTTATAATTCTAAATTTATTTAWTAAAAAATTTCCAAGTTCCACTTYAAAGACRAAAATTTATCTCCTACCCAAATCCAAATAGTCCTGATTCTCTTTAGAAGAACATGGGAAAATCTGTGACTTTGTCACTTCCGACTCGATATATTTTTGGTTTTTTAGGCGTGTGGTTTTCAGTGAGGCAAAACTCTTTTCGGAGTTGATCTTTTTGAGAGCTTTGACATGGTTTGAGCTCTGTTTGATTTCCTATTTCATAATGAACTAATTTAGTTCAGAGCAACGTTCCTGAATCGTGTAAATTTATTACCAACATAATGGTTCGGCTCGCGCGACACATCGCTCGTTGCATACAATATTCAATAGATTTAATCACCGAGGAGAGTCGGCAATTCAAGCAACCAAGAATCGGTTTCGCCTCAGCGTCATCTTACAGTACGGACAGAAGACGCTATTGCTTCTTTGGAGCCGAATATYGAAAGTTTTTAGTTTGTGGGCCTTYAAAGTCCAGCTCGTACAAGAATTGAAACAACGCGGACAACAATCAAGCRCGTCAYWCGTTCGGTGAATGATTCCAAGACGCGATGACCACCTAATCCGATTTTCACAAGAAAATATTGTTCAGGAATGAAGGTCACTTTTGATTGAATGGACACGTTTACAAACAAAYTTGGCACGTTTGGAGTGATGATAATCCACAACCCATTGTTGCGACGACCCAGAAAATACTTTTCGGTATGTKCTAAGGGCACGCGGGCATATTTATTTAAAAATGGAGCCGTGCATAATGTTACAGCCAATGGAGGACGTTATAGAGACAAGATTAATGACTTTTTGGTGCCTAACTTTGGAGGACAAAATAGCGCTACATCCCATACAACCAGTGAAACAATCAATTTGCTAAAGAACACTTTTKCTAAAGGCAACATGTAGTGAACTGCTGGACTATTTTTGTCGGGTTCTGTGAAACCACTTGGCTACGCAGATAAGCCCGAGGATATTGAGCGCGKTATTGTTGGCATACGGCCCAATCGCCTTTCGGGTGGAATTATTTGAGCCAGTCGCGTCAATTACTTGTCTTAAATCGTTTTTAAAACTTAATGGCAAATCCCTATCTTAAAAATAAACTCAATTCTTGACGACAATATCAAATTATTTATATACGTTTTATTACTTCATGAAAACCACATGTCTAAAAGAACGCTATCCTACTCGCAAAAAAACACYAGATAGTAATCAAAATGACAAGTAAAGCAACAACAAAATGCAGTTAGCTTTGTATCATCTCTCATTCTTCTCTTCCATTGTAAAAATAACCGAGGTGATTGAATGTGCGATTGAAAATCCAATTTGTAACCATCAATAACTTCAAATTTAGTTTTATAACATAGCAATCAATATTAATTTTCTAAATTCCCTATATCGAGTCCTTACAAAAATAATTATTTCAAATAGGAGTAGCAAAAAGAAGGGAAGTTAAATTTATTTGCACAAATCAAATAATAATAGGTTATCCGCATAAGAGAGAGAGTGTTTGAGCTTAACGTATTAAATTTCATGAAAGACTTGCAAAAAATTACTATAAAGCGATAATTAGGTTTTGTTTTACGTTGAGAGGAATGCAATGAGGRCAATATGTGGTTTCTAGCTACGTTTATTAAACAAACTTTTTCTTGATCCTGTTATAGGAGCTTTTAAGCTCAATTACAAAATCTACTCGATCTAATTTAATAACATGTTAATTTTTTTTTTTTTTTTCGTATTATTATGTAATTTACATTTGTTTGTTTTTAACCTATGAGTTAATTTTCAAAGTAAAATATTGGTTATTAAGCTACGCATGTAGGTAATAACTGTCTAATATTATATTTGCAAGTATTTTTCCGTTGGCTATAATGAAAAACTTTATCCCACCATATTTTACAATAAAAAAATATTTTAAAATACTTAAATAAAAACTTAAAACATTGTATGGTATAATGTTCATGAAAAGTGATCGTAGTGAGTATGTAAGTTTATATTGTAGGTCTGACTTAAACTGCTCGCGCACAATGGTCTAAGACGCTAAACCGATTACCAATAAATAAGAACTTTTAGGCATTTGCAACTGAAAATRCAAATAATTTCAGAAAAAATACTTTAAAGTTGTGATCTTTGCAAGAATTACCATAATTAAGTACTCATGTGAATAGAGAATAAAGAGGAATAGAAATAAACAGTTAAATAMAAATAAAATCAAAACAAGAAGTAAGGAAGTGTTAAGTTCGTGGGGAACCGAACATTTTATACTCTTGCAACTKGCAAGAAACAAAGCCAGGGAAATACCGTAWRGTGCAAAACGCCAACCAAATGATCGGACCGACATATACCTACGACAAAGGGCTTGTTAGCAGAACGGAAATCATGATACATACGTAGTATTTGGGAGTTGGGGTAGTATCGACCCGATTTTATGTATTTTTGCCAATATTACATACTATTRATCTGCCAATACTAATAAAATGTGCTCTGAGATTCATTCGCTTTGTGAGCTTGGCAGTGGTCCGATTACTTCTATCTACGGACGTAATGCCAAGAAATGCGCATACGAAATTTCATCAAGATATCTCCTTTTTTACTTAAGTTACAACTTGTACGTTCRGACAAACAGACAGACAGTCAACCGGATTTCTACTCCTCTCGTCATCCTGATAATTTATATGCATATATATATACGAGTATAAGGATCTATCTCGCTTGGTTTTAGGCGATACGTACTACAAAACTATTATACTCTGCAGCAACATGTTGCAAGAGTATAAAAATTAATAAAACACATTCACTAAGTACACATATGTTTGGAAATGTTATGGAACCCCATATTTTAGGTATAGGACGCATAACGCAACACTCATACACAGAAAATTATCAGTTATATATAATATAAAGGTAGATATGTATTTATTTGTAATTAGCGGTAAAAACGTTGAGACAAACGGCAAATTTAGTGAAGTAAAATGAACGCACAAATTATGTGTTATTATTGTTAAAATGAAAAATTAGCGAAAATATTGGAAGAATATTAACCCTTAGGAACACACGTAAGCACTCATAAAAGCAAATAGAGGTTGAAAACTTCAAATAACTTTAGAATTCGAATAAGTATTGAAATAGTTTTTAGCATACAAATAATAAATTAACATACACACATAAATATACACAACTGTATGTAATATTGTTAACTTAACTAAAACAATAATAAAATTAGGTTTTAACAAATTTCGACCCACTGTACATAGCACAATATAAACAAAAACAGGCAAATAAAAAAACAACAGCAACATTTTACAGTGTTACCGGTGCATTCAAGTAAAAAATAATAATCTTTGCATAAACCGTGAACCCTTGAAGGCATGATTTTAGACCCCAAGTACTTTCAGATAATTATTTTTTATATACTAGCATATAAACGAGTTAATAAATGTAAACAAATTAAGGCTGAATTTGTATATATGTATACACATATTAAGTGAAAGGTATTTGTTATACAAAAAACCAAAAACAAAAATATAAAAAAGAAAGGTAGAATACTAAATTTAAACACATATTTAATGAGTTAAGTCGAAATTAAAATTCACAGAAATGAAAATACTAAAAAGAAACATAAAATAAATAAATAAACAGGAACTAAAAATATAAAATAATGAAAATACTATACATCATTGCTATGAGATTATACTTATAATATTTAAGTATAATTAGAAGTAGATAATTTCTGAAATATTGGTACGCAGCAAGCTTCCGCCAAAAAAGCTTTTTACACACGCCTAATGAATTGCAAATTTTTCAATTATTACATTTATATAATTGTGTATTAATTACATTATAATTTCACAATTGATTTTACTCGCTTAAAGTTATGTTGAGTTTTTAACATTTCGTCAGTAAATAATTTAGACCCCTATTACGAATTTGAACCCAACTGCAATTTGATTGAAGTTTTGTATTCAAACAGAATTGGGTTGATCTGAAGTTGAGGTGCTTCATTTAACGAAATGGAGTTGAAAACAGTAATAAGGGTTTTAGTCTGAATATTGCCTATCCTTATGTTAGTGTAGACGGTGCTACTAAATTGGAAGTTACACAAGCTTAGCAACAGTTATACGTTGAATCGACCTTCATTTGTTCTAACAACTAGAATTTGATTGAATTTGATGATGTATTTGAAACTCTTTTGAGAGATGTTTTTCCAAATTTATACAAAATTATTAAACTATTATTTTGTGTTATTAGAAGACTCCAGAAACCATTAACTTTTTAACTTCGATGTACAAAGTGAAATATGTCAAATATGAAAGAATGGTTTTGGTGATGCTCTAGTTTTGTTAACAC